TCAAAGAACCAGCTTTAAATTTATTGATTTTTCTCTATTTCCTGTTTTCAATCCTTGATAAATGATTTTTTTTCTTTTTTCTTTTTTTTCTTTTACTAGAAAGGAGAGCAGCTGAGAGGAATTTTTCTTATTACTTCACCATACTGACATATATGTAATAAAAATCCTTCTGAGGCATTCTTCTCTAGGCTCAGAATCATTTTTTATAGTGTACACACGTATACATGAGCTGGGAAAAATGATGTCTATTGTAAGACTCAAAATGCAAACAAACCTCCCAGAACTGCCATAGTAACTCTAGGCCTTCCAAAAAATATTAAATGTGGCCCAAGTATATAGAAATTTATATCTACCTTAGTCATACCTACCTGATTTTGGAGGTGGTTTGGCTGCCTATAGATTATACATTTTAATTTGCACAAAAAGGTCTATTACACCATTGGCTCATTTGATGTCTAACTTATATAGACACTCTTGACACTTACACTATAAAGTATGTATATTTTGGGGTTTATCAGAGAATTATAGATCCATTACACCTTTCCCCAAACCTCTGGGACCAGATGAATTTTAGAATTCAGACTTTTTTTTTATTTTAAAAAGGCAATATGAGAGAAATGATATATGATTTCATATATAATTTCAAATATGAGAGAATATGGTATATTCTATACATTAGGTAATGCTCTTGGCTGGGTTTGGAGCAGCAGGCAGTAATCAACACCTAAATATTTTCCCAGTAAAATGTATGCATATTTACACTGTAAGAAAATAACAGAAAATAGCTTTACATTAGTGCAGGTCATTTGAGTCAGATCAATTAATTTTATTGTTAAATGAACTTTTTGTATTTTTGCAATCATGGATAAGGGATTGTGGACCAGTATAACTTCAAACCATCCACAGTCTCAGCTGTCATAAGTCTTAGCCCTGTTAAGAGGAATTCTGGGAACAATATATGGGTCAACCAAATTGCTGGAATTGCTGGATGTTGGGACAGCATAAAGGTAATTGGGATAGCCCTTGGATAGCTTTCTTTTGAGTTTTGTTTTGGAATTTTGTTCTTTTTCATTGTAAGGTACTCTAAGAAATATTCCTATGAAACCCATCAATGCATTTCATATGAGAATAAAGTTAAAGTCATCCTATATGCTTTTTATGAAAGCATGTTTTCTTTTCATGGTAACGGTTAAGTATTGACTATGCTTCCATTTTCATGTTGATCCAGAAGCACAGAACCAAATTTCTAGCTTACTTGGGCAATCAGTGGACCTGGGTGCCTATTTGTTTGTATATGTTTCTAGTCAGTACATAACTGCAGTTCTTAGGTCTCCCCTATCCTAGTGTTTTATGTTCTACTTATATTTTATTATCTAATTTTACTTTTTTCCTACAAATCACCTTAAATCCTCTGACCTAAGGCAGAGAAGTAAAAAGCAGATAGCCAACAACCAACAACAAGTGGGCTGGTAGGTGTGTAGTTACTGATCAACTGGTGTTCTCGGTCATCTATCCTTGTTGTCTTTTAAGGGCTAGAGCTCAAGCTTGGGTCTGCTGGGGATTTTCCCTTCTTGGCTGAAAGACAATAGGGGGTGTTAATAATTGTCTCCCTGGTTTCTCCCTTCCTGAAACACACATTTAGGAATACATTTTAAGAGTACAGTTTCTTGAGTACTCACCATGTGCAGCTGTTGGACTAGGTTTTATAGACAAATAATCTTTTAGTCCTATACCCACCCTACAAGATTAATCCTCATTTAACTATATTCCAAGAAGGTAAGAAGCTTGCCCACAGTCATGTAGTGATTACATTGTAGAGAGGTATCTGGGGTCAAGTCTGCTGTATCTAGACATGAGGAAGATGAAGGGGACCCAACAGAAATGTAACTTGCATTTTTTTTTTTTTTTTTGAGACGGAGCCTCAAGCTGTCCCCCTGGGTAGAGTGCCATGGCATTACAGCTCACAGCAACCTCCAACTCCTGGGCTCAAGCAAGTCTCCTGCCTCCGCCTCCCAAGTAGCTGGGACCACAGGCGCCCGCCACAATGCCCAGCTATTTTTTGGTTGCAGCCGTCATTGTTGTTTGGCGGGTCCAGGCTGGGGATTCGAACCCGCCACCTTAGGTGTACGTGGCTGGCGCCTTAGCCAGTTGAGCTATAGGCGCCGAGCCTGTAACTTGCATTTTACGGTGAGAGACCTGTGTGTGCCTCGGCAAGTTGCACCTGATGCAGTAGCTACTCTTGCATCACTCTAGTTGGATTCTAGGAAAAGCTTAGAGGAAGAGAGTCTGGGTGTAGTTTACTCTTGCTATTGGAGAGGACGTTTTTATCATTGTGTTTATTTGGCCTGCACTTTGACTTCATGTTTAGAGTCACTCTAAGTACAAAATGCTGAATTTCTGAAACACATCACTCAATGACTGACTTTATGCAAAAAGGCACTTGTGATTCCTTTCAATTCAGAGTATACAAAATAGAAGACTTTTGCAAAAAAAAAAAAAAAAATCTGACCTGCAATTAAGATTCCAGGAACATTCCTTGGTAAGTATAGTGTCTCTGTTCTGCTTCCAATATCTTTCCTACAGAACATGACTAAGATGGGGTTGCAATGCTGTAACATAAATTCATCTTGTTTCTATCTGGATTTATTAACTAAGGTGTCAACTAATGTGTCCTAGTGTCAGAATCCAACTACACAGAATTCTAGGCCTATAGGATGGATATGGCTGACCTAATAGCTTTATTTTATAAAACTGGTCATGTACAAGTACACTACTTTTCTCTCCTTTAACATAGCCTCCATGTTTCTTCTGGCATATACATAGTACAAGGTCTGACAATTAAGTTTGTGACCTTGGCAGCACTGTACAAACAATGCAGTAAGGTTTCATAACCTTGGTATATATCAGTGTCTCACAGCTGTGTCAACATGTATTTTTCTTATGGAATAAGAATATGGAGGCAAGTGGTTCCCAGCTTGGTTCAGAAGCTCATCATACCTCTCAGGAACCAGGCCAAGCTTCTTCCCTCTGCCAAACTCAGGGTGTTAAGATGTCTCCTCTCTTTGTGTCAAAAAGTTGCTCAAACTTAAGGTCACCAGATGTCCCACCTTTGGCAGGATAGTCCCAATTTTTAACAATTTGTCCCACATCCTGCGGCGTTTTTAAAAAAGTCCCGGTTTTTGGAAAGAATGCATGACAAGCTAGGCAACGGCAGGAGAATGGGAAGGGAATATATGGTTTTCGGTCACCATGTGGCTATTTCGCCAGGATATGAGTTTTATATTATTTTTGTTAATTTTATAATGTTAAACTTTAATAATAACAATTGTTGAGAACTGATTATCGAGAACTGCTTATCAAAGTTTGCATTGTTGATCAGTTGTTAGAATTCCACCACCATTGTTTGGACTTAATGAACAATGGCATTTTTTGGCATTGGTAATGATGAAAACATTTTGTAACTGTGTCTCAGACGATACACATTGTACTGCGTGCTAGTGCTAAACAAGTGATGTCAACAAATCAGCTATTCAGATAATTTAGGTAAGTAATTTATTTATTTCATGAATTTAGCAGACAGTACTTGTATTGTTCATATTTTATAGTGTTGGCAAAAAGTCTAGTGCCGGCCTTGAAAGTGACACGACTTACGAGGTATCATTATTAAAAAAAATATATTGATAAGGAAAAGGTTAAATCTTGGGCATCAGCAAAAATCACAGTAGAGAACAAATGGTTAGAAATATTTCATCATTTTGAAACAAACCATGTTCCATACAATAATGCACTAAAAATTGTGGGATATGCACTGTCCTTACCAGGAACTAATGCTGTGACTGAATGCATTTTTTTCTACAGTAAATAAAGTGTGGACATCAGAAAAATCACAATTAAGTGTTGAGACTTTGAAAGTCATTTTATGTGTGAAATATAATTTAACAAATTCTTGTGAAAAATTTCATGACCTTTTATTAAACGACAGCAATCTACTAAAAAATATTCACTCAAATGAGAAATATGCCAAAGAATAAAATACTATACATAATTTTTTTAATGTATTGTATTTGCAAATTGTACTTATGTTGAAATTAAAAATATATATTACAATACTATTTTTGTGTTCTATGAAAATATTTGTTGCTCCACATAGACCAAATTTTTAAGAACTCCCCCTGCCCCGTCAATGGTGTCCCGCTTTACCAATGTTAAAATCTGGTCACCTTACTCAAACCTTTCCTTCCTTGACCACTTGCAAAAACAGAAGGGTAGGCAGAAGCTCTCCTGATGCATCTCTCACTGACAACCAGTAGGAAAGTCTTTCTAGATGCCTCAGCAGTCTTCCCTCTCCTGGCCATGACTGAATTAGACATTCACCTGTAGATCAACTCTTGGCAAAGAAATGGGATTTCCATGACTGTTAGCACAGCTGGGGCTGGGCACATGAATAAAATTAGCTATGTGGTGGTGAAGGAGTGGGGAAGGATTGCTCACAGCAGGTTTCCACAAAAAGTGGGCATAGCTTCAGTGGGATGGTAAAAGCTCCCTTCAGACCACAGCTCAGAGATATCATCTTCATCTTTGTACCCCCAACATCAGAGGAACCAGGGTTGTAGTGTGATTCTTTTTTTTTTTTTGCAGTTTTTGGCCAGGGCTGGGTTTGAACCTGCCACCTACGGCATATGGGGAGGCACCGCCCTACACTGTGATTCTTATGAGGAGGCTGCCCTGCAGCAGCCCTACTCTGTCCTAGCAAGTACTCACTACCCTGCCCCCAAAGCCTAACACAGACAGGGGCAGAGCCAGCCTCAGTGCTCTGTCACCCTAAAGCTGTTTCACCAGAAGCGAACAGAACCTTTCACATGGCCCACTGCCCCTAAAATCCAAAACAGGGAGTGTTTAACTATTTTTGACTCAAATAGTTTGAGTCAAACTATCTTCCTTATGAAAGCAGATTTATTGAACAAGAATCTTGTTCCATCTTTTTAAAAAAGTAAACCAGATTAAAATTTAAAAACAATTTATTTTTGAATACATAATACATGTACATGGTACAAAATTCAAAAGGTACAAAAGGTGTACATTGAAAAGCAATTCCCACCCCTCTTCCCAGAGGCAACCAAAGCTGTCAGGTTGCTGGGTATTCTCCAGAGATGTCCTAGACATAGACATACATGTGTGTATACATACATACACACATCTATAGACACATTTCCCTACATTCCAAGCACTAGTATACCATGAACCTCTTTTCTCCACTTAACAATGTGTCTTGGAGATCTTTCCATGGCAGCTGCATTCTTTTAAATGTAAAATATTCCATTGTATGGAGTGGCCCTAATGTATTTAATCCTTTCTCAAAATTGGTGGTACTTTCCAACTTTTGCTATTACAAACAATGTTGTAATAAAAATTCTTCAACATAGGAAAAATTCTTAGAATTAGCATTGCTGTTGCTGCTTCAAAAGGTTTATGCATTTGCACTTTTGATAAATAGTACACAACCACCCTCCATGGAAGTTGTATTATTATACTTCCGCCACCACTGTATCTGGGCGATGCTCCCACAGCCTTGCAGCACTGTTCCACTTCTTACTTTCGTGTGACTGAAACATTTCTACCAGTCAAGTTACCTTTAGATTCATGACACAATAGGAGCCAAAACATACCTTATGTCTGACATTAGTGTGGTCCTTTTTTCTTTGTTCCCCTCCTCCCACCAATAGGGAGAAAAAAAAATCTGTAAAAAGATAATTCCTTTGAGATGTTTGAAACCTCTGAAACCTTTTTCATCCCACCTTTTGAAGTTAGAGTATAACAAACACTCAAAGAGAGATCCTCTAAAGTTGATGAATAAAATTGTCTACCTGTCCTCAAACTAAGCATAAATTAGAGGAAGGGTTAAGTCTAAATTCTGCTAATACAGGGATGCAAAGTCGCAATTTGGAGAAGCCATTTTATATAACCAGGATTTCCTGATCGTATACTTTGAGGCGGATGTGGGGAGACTGGCGAGTAGGATAGGCGAGGCCCCTGCTTTTGTTGCTCTTTTATTCTAGAAGGGAAGGCAGGCAACAGAGAGATGAGCACAGTGACATGTGTTATCCAGACAAACAGAAGGGGAGGGGCAGAATGTGATCAGGGCTGGGGCCAAGTTAGAGGGGTTTGTGCATGTATTAGAAGGTCAGGGAAAGCCCTACCTAAGACCTTGGAGGGGACAGAGGTGACAGACAGTAGGGCCATGGCCACAGGCAGGCTTATGGACTTGCTACATTTGGGGATCTGACGTGAGGCTGGTGTGGAACATCCACAGCATTCCTGGTGTTAAGGATGCTGCAGACCAGGTACTAACCCCCCAACTCCCCGATATTTTTACACAACATATTTATTGTGAAAAGAGGAGAGGCTATTACAGCATTACTTTTTACATAATATTTTCAGCCCCTTGCTACATGTGGTTAAGGAGGAATGCTCTGGATTGTGTGAAAAGGACCCAGGGAGGGCATGGGGGATTATAAAGATGCATCAAACAAGGCACTTCCCCAGGCAATGCTCAGTAATAGGGACTGAAAATGGCACCCCATCCTGGGGGCTTGTCACTGTACTGTTCTGTATTAAATATTCTTTTACCTTGAGGTCAGTACTGGCCATTAGTAAATCATACAGCGCTCATTTAAAGTGCTCTTCCTTACGCACGTTTTAAGCCAACTATAATAATTTCAGAACAAAGGACTGAAATTACCACTTAGCCAAAGCAACTGTTAACAGTTATTGCTGGAATGCTGAGTCCCCTCAAACTGATTTTCTATCCCCTGCAAGAGTGGGCCAGACAAGACCACTCAAAGCAGCAGACATGCAGGACGAATGAGGTACAGCCACTGCTCCCGTGTCCAAACTGCCCTTTCAGGCAGGTCTGCTCTGGTCACTACAGACATGATCGGGGCCTGTCAAGTATCACAACCATGAGGTTGTGGGAATGGCACTTTTGAGGTAGTAAGAGGGCTGCCTGAAGGCCTTGCCCACACTCTGCTCAGGTGTCAGGAGGTCCGAAAGGCTACAGTGTTGTTTCATGACATGTGCTGACCTCCAACCTGACCAGCCCTTCTGCCTGCTGGCTGTGTGGCCAGGCTCAGTAGACTCTGTGGCAGGACTGGCTCTCCTTGAAATACAAACCCACTTAAAACTGTGAACTTCTGACTCTAACAAGAGCTATGCTTGACAAACTTGAAATCTGCCCTCTGTTAAAACACAAGCCCATGGGTGACTCTGGTCACTGTTCTCTAACACTCAGCACCTCCCTTTAGTGTAAATAGCAGACCCCAATAATCCAGAAGAGACTGAACACGGGCCAAAGAGAATAAAAAAAAAAAAAATGGCCTGTGTCTCCCTAGGCACTTTGTGATCATCTCAGGTTGTCCGGTTTACAGCAGCTCTGATATTGGTTTAAAGCAGAGCAGCCTCACGCACTCTTGGGAAGCATGTGGGCAAGAGGGGAGTCCCTGACCCAGAGGGTGGCCAAGAATCCAGGGCACCAGGCAAACTGCCTGCCAGCCAGATCCCTGCACTGACTGAGTAGGGAGAACTAGCTGCTTCCTGAGGAAACCTGGTTCTTCTTGAAACACATTTTTTAAAAAGTAACTTAAGGATGTTCTCCCTCTTCTCCTTACCTCTGGAAAAGCCTGTGGGTTTAGAACATACCAACATACTATGTCTAGGCACACAGAGAGCCATGCCCCTGGGAAGACCCCTTTCTCCTCCCCAGGTAGTTTTTGAAAGGATCAGGGGACCCAGGGTATCTCCTGTAAGACTCAACTGTAAAGCCCAGGTAATATCCTAATTACTCACAATGGCACCATATGCATTGCAGGTTGTCTGCAGAAAGTGTGGAATTCCTAAGACTGGAAATTCAAAGTATGTTCAAGCAAAGAAAACATTTATTATCTGTTAGTAGGCCCTATAGACTAAAGAAAAGGGAAAAGATATCTACAGACACCTCTCTATACCAAAACCAATCTAAATGAAACTCTTGAGAAACACAGCCCAAAATGTATGTCTCCACTTTCAAAAGGAATTATTGGTTGCTTTGGATTAGTCATGCCTTACTTTCCCCATCAGTGCAGAGCAGTGGACTCCAGTAACTTCAGGATGACACCTGCTCCTGCCTCCCTCCCACTGGTGGACAAAGTATCTCCTTACGAAGTTTAGTCAGCCCAGGGTGGGACTATGAGCACCTAATAAGATAAAGGAGATGAGTCCCTGAACCTGCATTCATTTCAAACAAATTGCTGCCTCCTTCCCCTGTTCTCAAAACTGTTCTTTTGCAATTACTTGGTTCAACTTTACTGAACCTTTTCAGAACACCCACATGACGTTGGTCCAGGCACCAGCCAGAAGTGGAGCTTCACACAGCCCGGAAGCTCTGTCCGTTTCAAATACTGCTGTTTCCACCTGGCTCACACAGGTCTCGCTGGCCTTGGCAAGGAACCAGTTTCTGTCATTAATCAGGGTTTTTTTTTTGTAGGTTTGTATACATTAGCTATGCAATAGGGAACTAAAAATGAACACAATTATTTCTGTGCCTGTGCTGAAAGCCTCATCTGGCTGACACATCAGGCTTTTACACTTGATAGTCCAAACCTGCTGACTGGCACGTGCACAAGATTTACGTAGAATGGAACACAAACCTCCTGCTTGAGGTTTGCTACACATGACTGAGTTGGACTCCTGAGGGCCAGTGCTTTGCACTGCTCATGTCCCAGGGTAAAGTCAACCCCTCAGCTGCCTTCAAGACCTTCCAAGGTCTGGCCCGTGCTCATTGCTCATCTTTCCAGACTGGTCTCTACAGCCTTCTGCCAAGACCAGCTTGTCCCTTTCTCTCTCAGTGTGAACGTTCTGGATACCCCACATGCTCTTCAGTTTTTAATCATAGTGATCTTCATTTAAAACAGCATTCCTACCTATCTTTGCCTATGAATAGTCTATCCCCCTTCAGATTTAGCCCAGATGCTGCCTCTTCCATGAAGACTTCCTGGATCTCTGAAAACCTGATTCTGCTTCCTCTCACTCCCTTGTGGGACCTGCATGCCGTGTTCACTGTGCTGTGGGCAAATGCACCCTGTAGGCATCTCTTTGCCCAGACCCACCTATCTGCAGTGTAGGGACATGGAATGTGCCTTCAAAGGAGGGGTTACACAAGCACATCCATACACTGCCTGTGACTGGAATGACAATTGGGGAAAGGGAGGGCGTAATTGAAGCACCCTCAACATAAGGCCATTTTCAATTTTTTTGGTGAAATAAACTTGAATTATATAACAGAATGAAGCCAACGACTCTGAGCTATACCATCTAAACCTGCTGGGTGGCACCTGGAGGAGCCAGGAACAAAGGGCAGCATGAGCAGCTGAAGGGCCCAAGGGACTGATAATCACATGGGCTGATCATTCTGCTAACAGCCTCTGTTCACTGTGAAAAGTTTCAGATGGCCAAGCTCTGGGGTCAGCTACATCTGCTCTGCTGGATGCCCATGGGGTAGGAACTGTCTTCCACTCCTCTGGATCTCTCTAGTGCTTATTTCTCAGTGGCTGCAGAATTAAAACTTGCTAAACAAATGAATTCTTCTTTATTCGGCATCCGTACAAGTACAGGTACCTCGTAAGTGCAATGTTACTGGAGAAATGAAAGTTGAACCAACACAGAGAATAAGTTCTGCCCATATTTCTTCAGAGATGATGAGTGTTACCTACTCCAGTTCACACTGTCTGGTTCCATCAACAGCAGCCAACACAGATGAAATGGAAGCCAAGAGAAAGAAAAAATCCAGGGTACTGAAATCATTACACCTGCAACTCTCTACTGTCGCTTTCAGAACCATTTCATGATCTTACAGTTGATACATGGTGTTTAAAAAATCAGTGATGTACCATGATGGCTGGGGATGTTCAGGAGGCCTTGGCTTTCATCTTGGACAACAGGACCTCGTTCTTACGGCCCTCCTGGAGAGGAAGCAGAGAGAGTGAGTGTAGAGAGAGGAGGCGATGACATAGCACCCCTGTCAGGCCCAGATGTTCTCACTGCCCTTCCCTCATATCCCACAGAAGACACCTTCAGACCAAGTAAACCAATATCCTACCACACTGTCACCAGCATGGTGAAACTTCCTGGTAACCTATTGAACTTCAAAGCCAAAATAAAGATATTGTTTCTGGGTTGTCAGAGTGAGAATAGGATGAAAGGACTAGGAATTGTCATTTCAAAAAACTTCATTAAGTCTCCAAAATCATCAAGGACATGGAAGCAGAAAGTAGTGTTATCTGCCAATCTCAGTCTACTATAGTGAGGACGGGGAGCAGGGGCTTGGGGAGCAAGGGCTTGGAGACAGCAGCCTAAGAAGGACAAAAGCCAGCCCTGGTTTACAGAACAAGCAAAACTCCTAACATTTCCCCCAAAATTTTTTCTCAAGAAGACACACTAGGGCTTATTTTCAGGGGATGTCTTCCTCTCTGCGCTGAAATGCATGGCATGGCTATGCAGATACGCTGCATAGCCGCTCCCATCACTAGGTCTTATTATTGGGGTAGGGCTTATATTTAACAAATGCATAGAAATCCTGCTAGGGCTTATTTTTTGGGTAGGTCTTATTTTTGGGGAAACATGGTAGAGAAGTTCTAACAATAGATATTTATTAAGGGGCACTCCTCTTCCTTAAAAATGAGTTATATGAAAGCAATGGTTGCATGTATGGGGGGATATCATTGAAGGAGGTCACTGGCACCATCCTTTGCCCATGGAATCCAATGTCCAGTGCACAGGTTACCACTGTGACATTCTATGTTCCTTTTTTTGGTCATCTTCAAAACCTGTTCCCTACGCACTCTTCTGTCCTTGATAGATCCAACAATCCCCACCCCTTTCCCTAAGCTGGTCACAAGGAGCTCTGCCATTAAAGTAGGAAGTGGAAGTGATAATGGGACGGGCCTAGAGCAGTGGAGCTCACAGAGCACAGGTTTGGCAGGGGTCAAACCTCCAGTGGCTGTGCTTTCCTGGAGATATATTCATTCACTGTGGTAGAAAAGCATTTTTCTGAATTCTCTGTTGACACTTTTTGAGGACATATTTTTGTGCTGAAGAATATTTTTGGATGGGAGGCAGTTTATTTTTCTGAGGGGGTAGGAAAAGAAAAGCAATTTTGGGTTATATCTGTTCTATTAGAAAAGAAGAAAAGTTTTCCTTTTTAAAATGAATTACTAAGATTTGTCCTAGGGAAAAAAATCTCCAGCTTAAAGAAAAAGTGGAGTGAGGAAGAGATGAAACAATAACAGGCAGACAGTTACACTATTATACAGTTATATACTCTCTACTTTTGTATATTTTTGAAGATTTCTATAACACAAATGCAATAAATAAATTAGTTCAACTGTTACCCTTCCTCACCTTTCAACTGAGGCAAAAGTAACTCAGAAACGGTAAAGAGTCCCTACCATGGGTAATTCTGCATAGCAGAACACACTGAAATGATGTTTATATTCTTCAGTGAAGATATCCTGTACGGTCACCTGGTGAGCACTGACTAAATTTCATGCAATCGACTAGAAGCCTTCTGGGAGACTACAGAGTGATGCTGTCTGTCTTTTCAAAGCAAATACAAAAGAGGCCCTTTAGGTATTTCTTTCTAGAAAAAAAGGGAAAATGTTTCATTGTCTCTGTGTCTTTCTTGCTTTAGACTATACCCAGGCCCACCCTGTGCCAGACCAGTGAGCTCAGTTCACTCAAGATTATGTATCTAAAGCCAGCTTCACAAGAGTAGACGATTTGCATTCATTAGTGTTATGTTAGAATTTAAATCTTCGCTTCATGACCTTATAGAAAACTGTAACTTAGAGACACAATTACTGTGAGTAACTGTGTTGTTTTCTGGTAAACCGGTAATTAAATTCTACTAGGATGAGCAAGCCAACAGGGTTTTAGAGAAAACGCAGTGTTTCTAATCTAAAGGTTTTACTATCAGAGGAGGCTAGGAATGAGGACAAGGGCATGACTTGGTGCCCAATTAATGGGGGGTAAACCAAGCCTGATAAAGACAACTACTAAGGGGGCAAAAGACCATGCCTGGACAGCACTGTGCTTTCACTAGCCTGGTGGCTCACGCCTGTATCCCAGCACTTTGGGCAGCAGGAGGAGAATCACTAGAGGCCAGGAGTCTTACACCAGCCTGAGCAACATAGTGAGACTCAGTGTCTCTACAAAAAAAAAAAAAAAAGAATCAGAAGAAAAGAAAACAGTGCTTTAAATAAAGAATACATATTGAATAAAGAATACATATAGTAGAACCTTCATAGTTGATGTAATTTTCATGGACCACATGAACGTATCGGTATAGTAGGCCTAATTTCTTATGGTGACCAACTCCATATGTTGACCAGTTTGTTACAGTCCCTTGGGTGGTCAACTCACAGAGGTCCTAGGGGCCATGATGTGATGAGAATTCAGAATGCAGGAGTAGAAGACCAATGAGGGTGGAGGGGTGAAGGAGTGGTGGGGTGGAGAGGTGGGGAGAGAGTCATAGTAAAGAAAGCAGAACAGAGAAGACTCTAGGAAAAGGCTCTGCCCTGGGATCAAAGTCCAGCTTTTCTGTTTTTCTGCCACAACAAGATCTTACCCAGAACTGCAATAGGTAAAACAGAAAAATAGCAGAAGTAGCCTGGATGCAGAAATGGGGTGGAGACTGGGAGCAACAATTCCCACCATCACCTCCTCCTCAATACCTGGGTGGCCCCAAAGTACCTCAGAGGAGCTGGCGGGAGAAAGTTTAAGATTTTGGAACATTGACATGTGGTTGTCAATTTAAAATTTAGCCAAGCCAAATGTTTAAAAAAGAAAGGACGGGGTGGCGCCTCTGGCTTAGTGGGTAGGGTGCCAGCCCTATATACCAAGGATGGCGGGTTCAAACCTGGCCCCGGCCAAACTGCACCAAAAAAATAGCCAGGTGTTGTGGCGGGCACCTGTACTCCCAGCTACTCGGGAGGCTAAGGCAAGAGAATCGCCTAAGCCCAGGAGTTGGAGGTTGCTGTGAGCTGTGCACTCTTACCGAGGGTGATAATGTGAGACTGTCTCTACAAAAAAAAAAAAAAAAGACCACCCATCATCAGCATTATAAGACACAGACAATTTTAACATCAAAACATAAGAGGTCATGCTATTTTTTTTAAAGGCAAAACACATTTAAATGAAATATGTCAGTATATATTACGTTCCTCCACCCCCATTTTTCTCTGACTTGCTTTGGGCTGAGAAAACTTTGGCAGAGGCAAGTAGCAGGTCCTAGCCAGCTCTGAAGGAAGTACCTCAGTCTCTGAGTAACTGTGCAGTGCAGGTGGGAACACAGGACTTTCAGGCTTAATACTTCTGAAAGAGCTGTCTCCTTCAAAGTCATCCTAAGCCCTCACCTGAGAGCCTGCAGTGCAAGAATGAGCTTTTCCCATTTCGTTTTTATTTGTCTTGATTTTGACAGCTTATACTTATCTTCCTCAATTTATTTGCTTTTTGTTTCTGTACTGTCAAAAGGGAGTGCTGGCATATCCAAGAAACACGTGAAATGTAATGTAATTCTCCTCTGGGCCTTTCCGCTCTGTGAGTTAAAGGGAAGAGTGAGCTCTGAGGGAAGTAGCAAGTTCGTATTTGTTTCCTGCCAGCTCACTCACTGGCCTTCTGGAGCTCCAGCCCCAACCTCTGCCCACAAGGGTTTTCCAGCCTGGTCCCTACCCTGCACTGACTACCCTGGGGCCATCCCACATGCTGCTCTGGATGAACTAAACTTGTTCTCTGGAATGTCCTGTTTACCTAGAGAGGCCTTCTAGGATCACACCACCTAAATTAATCCCTTCACACAACACAATGTGGAAGTGTTATCACTTATTCATTCACAACTTGTTCTTAGCTTGCTGTCTGTCGCCCCACTACAATGTATGCTCCTTGAGCAGAAGGACCAGGTCTGTTTATGAGCTAGTATCTGCCCAAGGGGAGAGCAGGAAAGGATGAATCCTAGAATTCCCATAGGTTGTGGCTTCCAAAAGCTAAATCACAAAAAGGGGAAAGAAAAGTAGAAGAGAAGGGAATGATGAGAAAGGGAGAAAGTTCCTACAAAATAAATGAGAACGAAATTATGGGCATGGAAACGTTGCATTTTTTATTCTGCATACCAAACTCTAGGATACAACCACCTACCTTTAACTCCTCTATTTTCAGCAGCCTATAAATTCAGCAAAACCACATATATTTAGCTTAGGAAGGGGGTTAGGAATTCCTAAAAATAAAGCTGTTGAGACCTTGGCAAATGATAAAATGAAATCTTCTTTCTGGAAAATCTCTTAAGAAAAAAGCAGGGAACAATGAAGAATAACCTTGCTCAAATGCAGGGAGGGAAAACAGGGACCAACAAAATTCAATTCCACGTTGGGTGTTAGTGGGTCCCAGACCTGGCAACTAGATATTTAATATTTCTCATCTGACACAACGGAGCCCACCAAAAAGGAAACTGAGGCTGGGAGGGATTAGGTCACTGTCTGAAACACACAGCTGGTAAGTGGTAAATACAGGATTCGAATACAAGCCTCTTACTCTTCTCTCTTCCCACAAGGCTTCTTGAAGATCCTCCTCATCCTAAGATTGGAAGGAGGGAAGATTCTATATCTGAATCCATAGCAAAAACTGCTTCCAGGTGGCCCCAGATGTACTCTGATGATTCCATTGTATTTGTGAATCTAATATACTTCCTATGTGTTACAAAAATAATGTCATGTCTCTCAGAACATTTAATCAGAGCCTCCAATGGGACACATAAAAATGCAATCTTTCACTACGCAGATACCACAATTTCATCAGAGCACGCCACCATCTTGCAATTTCTCTTCACACACCAGGGGAAATCAAAAAATTGCTTTGGTTTTTAAAGTAAAGGCTCATCTTAAGAAGGTAGATCTTTAGCCTCAATGTGCCCTCCCTCTTACCTCCTTGAACTCTTTCACAGTCTTAAAGTACAGCCTCTGTTTCTCTAACAGTTCCAAGTACTGGTCGTTCAACTGGTCTCTTCTCATTTTGTTCTCTTGCTTCTTCTTTTCCATCTGTTGAAACATTTTGGGAAATGGTGATGAAAAGCAAGTTTTGACCAAGGGCTGCTGGCAACATCCAAAAGGCAATCTTACAAAAATTTTCATGGATTTCCTTCTAGTATTTTCCTTTTGCATATAATTTTTCAGGTTGGTTTATTTATCTACTTATCTACATAATATTACATGGAGGCTGTATAATTTATTCAGCAATTTTATCACTGGTCATTAACTATTTCCATTTTTTTTTTTGTCATTATAATTTCACAATATATAAGTTGGTGATTCTCTGCTGGAGGCTATTTTGCCTACCCCAGAGAATATCTGGCCATGTCTGAAGACAGTTTTGATTGTCCTAACTGTGAGGAGAGGGTTCTACTGGGATCCTTAGGTAGAGGCCAGCAATGCTGCTAAATATCCCACAATGCTCAGGACAGCCTGAGATAACAGTATCTGTCCCCAAAGGGTTGTTGTGAAATCCAGATTAAACAATTATGATCCACAATAAGATTATATATCCACTTTTCATTTAACTTAAGTATTTCTATGTTATTAGTGTCATAAACTTCCTATAATTATAATTTATAAATACAATACAATATTCCTTATTAGTGTTTACATACTCATCTTTCCACGGGTAGACAATTTAGGGTGTTTCCAGAATTCTGATTTCGTAATTAGAGGGTAGATACTGGTTTAAAGAGACTTTCCTAAGGTACCTAAAAGCTTATTCTTTCAATAAAAATGACTCAACACTTACTAAATACCTATGTGTTGCAGCGAACACGGCAATCACCACTCCCAAAGAGCGTACATTCTAGAGAAACTGACACCAAGACAGTGTGCTAACAAACAGATACACGTTAAAATTCCTAGTAGTGATCAGTACTAAGAAAATGAAACAGGATTAGGTGCTAGGGGAGGGTGGGTACACGTATGGCCTTTTTGGACTGGAAGACCAGGGAGGGTTCTCTGTGGAGTGACTGAGCAGAGCTGGCAGTGCTACGTACTGTATTTCCAGAAGATAAACTCAGAGCATCAGCCAGCCAGGAAATGAGGGCAGAAGGAGCAATGGTACAGACTCAGTGCCTGGTACACAGCAGGTGCTCAAAATCTTGTGGAAAGAAATCATGTGTGATGCTCTGCCCTGGCTTCACTGATGTCTGAGCATGACTTTTGAGTTGTACTTTGGAATAGATTTTATAGTTTGTAAATAAAAGTTTCAGGTGAATTGAGAGGACTATCTTCAATAGTTCTCTCCACTCTTTCCATACCACAGGCCTCTGTTGATCATATAGATGAAATACAACCTGGGGTTCCCAGGGCCTATCCTAACACTGTTCAAAGGAAGGCCCAACCCACATGGGAATTTATTTGGCTGGGATCCTGACGCCAGAGGCCCAAGTCTCTATGCACTCCTCTTTCTACAGGTTGAACATGGATACCTGCTGTATGTTAGCTTCTGAGTTTGGAAACCTCCTTTGTGCCCAGGTCTTCCAGAGTGGACAGTCCCCTCTAGTGTCACTGGCTGATGTTTTCCTGCATTTGAAACCCTGCTCCAGCAGCCAGCCCTGCTCCCTGCAGACAGAGTTCCTGGTGCTGCCTGTAAGGATCTCTAACGCCAGCTCCTGTTCTGCCAGGGACCTACAAGCTGCCACAACCCTCCTGCTGCTCCTTGGATGCCACCTCCTATAGTTATCAGGTACTTTTTCTGATGACCTGGCTAGGACCTCACAGGACTGTGCCTCCCTCTTACTTAGCACAGAAAACAGCTCTAGCCTAGGGCTTTTGTCTACTCTGTACTTTAGCCAAAAAATCTGGCCATGACTGATGATGCCCTAGCAATGTAGACAATACACTTGAATTCAATTATGAATTTATCAAGGACCCACTATGAGAGGTAATGTGGCAACCTTGAAAGGCTGTAAGTTTGAGGTCAGGAAGGTCTGGGTTCAGATCCGAGCTCTGCCACTCACTTGCGTATTCTTGGACAGCTTATTTACTTTTTTGAATAATAGGTCCTTTAGTTAAAGTAAGGAGAGTGTCACCTTGTCACAGGCTTTTTACTACAAGGAATATGTGATATTAAACACTGATGAAAAATCCATCATTTAGTTCAGATTGTCTGCCCAATAAAGAAAAGCTTTTATTCTGTTCTTACATTTAACATGAGCAGAGAGGTCGATGTCCTCCTTCACTCCCAGAATCAGGAGCTGACTCTTTAGTCTCAGTTTCATTTGCACTCTCTTCTCAGAATCCCCTACTCAACTCGTACTGTTCCTTGCTTTTCACTTTTCACACCCTAACTCAGGAACTCTAGATTGTGCCAAGCACTTGCTCACAGCCCTCCAGAGCTCTTAAGAACTTACCTCCTTTGGGAAAGGTCAAAATGCCTGCTAAGATGGGACTCCCTCTCTATGCAGACATGCTTGGATAGAACACAGATGCCCATTTTATCACTTGTACTCAAAGTCACAGTCCATCACATGTACTATTCTATCACATGGAACCTGTGCTCAGGAGGACACAGACCCCACTGCCACATCGATGGGAGCAGGACCCACTATGGCACTGTTTCAGGGAGGGCTATGTTAGTTTTTGCTGAACAAACAACAAAACACGTCCATCCAAATGAGTGCTATTGTGCAAAGCAGACAGACTGATTCCACTCAGGGTGCCAATCAATATTCCAGGCCTATCTGGAACTTTTGAGAACTTCTCTTAGACTCTATTGACAGAGTTCACTCCTTCAACAAATAGTTAAGGGCCCACTATAGGTCAGGCACTATGTCAGCCGCTGGGGGCACAGACCTGAGAAAGAGAGCCAGCTCTGCCTTGGGTTCCACTTACCCACTGCAGTCTACCCTCTAGTGGGGAGACAGAGACCTAGAAGGGATTTCCCTCACTGGTCCCTTCACTGAAGGTACCAACAGCATGAAGCCTGGAGGGGACCAGAGAGAAAGAAGGGGTCAGGCAGGCGCTTCTCCCTATAGCAAGGCAGCTCCTGGTAAACAGGAAGGGAGAGAAAATGGGAAGAAAATCCAGTGACTTCCTGTTGTGCTTGACTATGAACAGGAGCAGATCCTGGGGAGGAGCGATGGCGGGGTGAGAAGATCTACCACCCCGCGACCTGGGTTGTCATGGACTCTTCGTCAGCCAGCTTCTGTTTCCACAAACCTCACACCACAGATCACTGACACTGAACTTCATGTGCTCTCTGCAAGACAGCCTGTCCTGCCTTGGGTGAGGATACAATGTACAGGCAAGCACTGCTCTCATTTTTATGGTTGAACAGTCTGAGAAATCATGCTTGTTACCTCTGATACTTTTTCTTTCTCCTTGAAATCATTTTATTGAAGTCATTAATGGAGAGATTAATGATATTTTTCTACAGAGAAAGGGATATGGAGCACTCCTGCCCTTACTTCATCTCTTATGTGATGAGAATACAAGCAGCTCCAATGTTTTTCTTCTGTAAGGTGGGATTTTATAATGACAAGACCTACAGGCGATTCTTATTTTTATGTCTTCCATCCTGGAGCTGCTTACTGGTGCACTTTGCCCCAGGATCGTAAGAGGAGACATCCTAGGTCCCCAGAAGTATATATTGCTTTGTCGAAGGACCACTGTGGTGTGATGAGCACAATGACTGGCACACGGTGTAAGTGTCCACACCTGGGAACAACTGCTCACAGCAGCCTTTGTTCCTCTAGGTGTCAGAGCCAGACGCATAGTGGGAGCCCCTCTGCAGCAATGACCGTCTTCAGGATTGCGAGCACACTCCCAGAACCAGAAGAAGCCTGTACTCCCTAGGACCTTCCCAGCCCCACTGTGAAACCAGGCTATGTTAGAGAAAAGAAGCCACCTGACCTTCATTCTACTTTGCTTAATTCCTTCTACAATCTGTTCCATCTGACGTAAAAACTGATCCCGGGAAGCAGGAGAAGACATGGCTCTGAAAGAAAAATCAGCAAAGGTTATAACCAACACATAGGACTAAGAAAGGGGTAGATGCCAAAGAGTAAGCCCTGTACCCAAATTATATCCCAAGAAGCAAATGGGACTCTGCAATGCACAGTGGACCCTGGGATCCCAGGTAACCTGAGAAAGACATGGAAATTAGCCCAGTCTTATAATTACATATTAACTTTTTTTTACCACCACTCTTCCTACAATGTTCTTAACTAATATGTATTTTCTTAAAGTAAAATAAAAATTTGACTAAAATGAACAAAAATATTATTTAGTTTGAATTATGACATGTGCTGCTTAAGAAATGAATTCCATTTGGTTTTTAAAAATCTGAGGATCAGGAGACACTGCTCAGGATAAGCAGATTTATTCTGAGGTTTCTTAAAACTGGGGCTGGGAAATCTGGTCCATTTCTAGAAGCAGCAGCTAAATGAATGGGTTCCCTGATGTTCTAAAACATTCTTCTTCACCTCTACCTCTGCAGAGGGAAGGACACCAGGAGGACTAGAGCGCACCACACACACATAAGGACTGAGAATTCTCCAAGGGAAGATCTGGCAGAGCAGAGCTCTTCACAAAAACACCCAGACTGCAGGCTCTCTCACTTATTAAGAAAGAAAAATCAAAGTAGACATATCACAAGGTTGTATGTTACCAATTGAATCTGATTTTTTTTTTTTTTTTACAGAGACAGAGCTTTGTCACCCTCGGTAGAGTGCTGTGGTGTCACAACTCACAGCAACCTCCAGCTCTTAGGCTTAGGCAATTCTCTTGCCTCAGCCTCCCAAGTAGCTGGGACTACAGGCGCCCACCACAATGCCCAGCTATTTTTTTGGTTATGTGGCCAGGGCTGGGTTCGAACCTGCCACCCTTGGTATATGGGGCTGGCGCCTTACTCACTGAGCCATAGGCATCGCCTTGAATCTGAATCTTATCAGGGAGATGTGGGTTTGCTTTTTTTTTTTCCTTAAATTAGAAAAGAAGCTTAAAATCTAGGGTTCATAATTCATTAAAATCTCAGTCTTAATGTGTCCTTTTTCATCTGTTAGGGGACACTAGAAATTTGTACTAGAGAAAAAGGAAGTCTTCTATCCAGAGGGCAAGCCCTGGGCATGCCCAGATGGTAGGCTGGCCCCTGGACAGGTTTAGAGCTGGTATTGGGCCCAATTGGGCCTTGGAGAAAAAATTCCTATCTAAACAAAGTAGTTTAGATGATGCACATTATATTTAAAAATAAGATCTATCACAAGATTAAAACAAAATCTTTTAAAAAGTATACAGATTATTCCATTATTTACCTTTTACAGCATTTCTACACGCTCAAGAACAAGTTGTAGTAATCTGATCCTACCAAGCAAAAACTACAAAAAGATTATAGTAGATACACAAAAAGATTATAGTAAATAGGCAGAGTCAAATTATTTGAAAGTAAACTTTTTTCCCAAGCTCTTCCTTTGTTTTTAAAATTCACTCTAGTATCATCACATTTTTTCAGGAACTCAAGGACAGTATAAACCAAGATATACTTGCACTTAGTAGCAGGGGTGAAAGAGCAAGAGTCCCATACCCAGCATTAAGTTTGCATTCACCTTTCTCAGTCAGACCATGAGGATACCAGGCGGACTGAATATGAAGTGCAGGCTGATCAGGCTATTTATAGAAAGGAGGAGGAATGGCAGTACTTACTGTGAGAAGTTCTCATGAATTGAGTTCAGCAGGCTAATCTGTGGAAGCAAAACAGAACAAAACAAACACAACACAACTTTAAGTAAAAGGCTGAAAGATTTCTGTACTTTCAATCAATGAAACTTTGCTTCATCTCCAGATACTGCGTCTTAAGGGAACACATACCTTGTTTATGAAGATTAAATGAAAGCCAAAAAATAAAAAAAAGAACGTAGTCTTTTAGTTTTCCTCAGGGAATCCACCTCCCTCTACTCACAGAAAAGTCTCTCCCTCTCTCTACAACAGAATCCCAAGAACTGTAGGACAAGGGCTCCTTGCAGGGACCTGGATCCCAGCTGAGAAGATGCTAAGATAACACAAGGGCTCTTTGAGCAAGCCGCCACCACAGCCCCTGTCCTGCCAAACACTGCACTTTACCTTCAGGGATAATTGGCTGTGGTGGAGAGTGAGAATTCAAGTCCATCTTAGCCCTTCCCACAGAATCTTCTTCCCATTGCAGTCAGCTGCTGGGTGGCTCTGACAGCCTCCATGGGGAGATGCCGTTGAAGGCCCTATTTCCATAGACACTGCCTCAGCTCCCACAGCAGGACCCTCTGTCTGTCTGTCCCAATGATCCAGTCCTGGAAAGGGCTCTGAGTCTACAGCACACAAATGTAGTTCCTCTCTCTGGTTGTAAAACTACTTGACTTGGGGACTTAGACTAAGTAATTAATGTATTTAAAATTCAGTTTCAGAGTTTGCAATATAAAAATATTTCTTATGCTTACTACTCCTCTGCAAAGTTTTGCCTACTCCTCAGGCATAAATGCATTTAGAATAAAATAGCCAATTTATTCAAATGCAAAATTTTGTGCTACCATGGCTTGGAACTAAAAAGCCCAGCCCCCAACTTCCACACTCTGATAATCCTAGTTTTTAAAGAATGCAACAACTTTAAATACTGCTGATGAAGGCAGGTCAATGGCAGAGCCTTCTGAAAAGGAGCTGGCCTGTCCCTGAGTTAGGGTTGGGAAATCTTTCCCTTACCAGGTAGGAAGACCCTGAGGCCAGGGTGCCAGGCAGAGGTATTCCCAGGTCTGATGCAAATCCCACCAAATGCATTCATCTACTCAAACATTTATCAAATGCCTGTTATGTGCCTGACACCATGTAAGGACCCTGATACAGAAAAAAACAAAACTTAATGCCTCTTCAAGGAGTGCCTAGGAGGAGAGATCTATCTAGTTTACTGACATTAGGCAATAAAGGTAACAATAATTATAGATGCCTTGACTTGGATTTAGATAAAATACAGTATTATACAAGATAGAGGATTGTAACATCATTCTTATTAAAGTGGTAATTAAAGCAGGTTACAAGATGATAATAAAATGGAAACAAATTCTGTCAATCTCTAAGTGACAGGTAGGAATAATATGTACTGAGAATTGACCGTGTGCAATGAACTTTTTCTCATTCTGTCTTCATCATAATCATCACCAACAATCAGGTATTATCTCCATTTTACAGGTGAGATGAATGAGGCCATACTAAAATCAAAATCTGTTTGATGCCAAAGCCTGTTTTCTCTCCATTACACTATACTGCCATTCTGGATCAGAAATGTTCTTTCTTTAATCCTTTGTTGTCCAACATGGGGGAGCCCTGAATCATGAATGGATTTAATCTGACACAGTCTGTGAGAAGAGGGGTGTTCATGTCAACCGTTTCACCCCTGCTTGGAAATTTACAAAGTTTTAGCTCATTCCTGTCTGCCCTTGATGATTACATAGCTATTTTCTCCATATCCATTTCATTTAGATGGTTGCTCCCTTCCCTTGCAACTCAAACTAGTTTCATCAGCTCCAGGGCTCCCACTATATTTCTTTCTATGATGACATTTCTCACACGGCACTACAGGACAGCTGGCTACAGGTCTCACTTCTCCCAAGACAAGGTGAGCTCCCAAGGAATCTTACTTTTTCTGACTTTGTGTCCCAGCATTTGACATAAACTGGTGCTCTTTCTGCTTACACTGAACACATTCAACACAGACATCAAGTTCATCTGACTATCTAGGGTCAACTATACTGTCAGCTGCTCCTCTAATTAAGCCATTTTCTTTTTATAAAGGTTCTTACCTCTTTTTCCAAATACACCTTTTTATCATCCAGGGTATTATATAAAGTGAAGAACTGCTTGGTTTCTTTGTGTACTGCTGAAACTGTAAATGCAAAGAAATCAGCACATAAGAAAGAACAGGCCTCAGAACAGCCCGAGTGCTGTCCTCATGACGCACACTGCCAGGACTCAGGCCTGACACGGCTGGTACTCTGCCCCAGTGTGAAAACCAAATCACCTGGGACACATTTTTAAAACTCCTAGGGCCAGTGAAAGGAAAATGTCTGTAGCTGGGACTCATGTGATGACAGTGGATAGTCAGAATTGAACATTACTACCATAAATGAACCCTCTGGCTCAAGAATTAAGTGGGAGTTGTAGATATCTGATAATAACAATAAAAAACTGATATAGGTATTTTGGTGCAACTGCTTGAAAATTTCTTTGGTGCGAAAACATCTTTCTCAAATGACTTTAACATCTAAAATTTGCCCTTTGAAATATACAGATGAAAGGTATTACTATTATTATTGCTAAAAGTTTTAAAACAAGGAGGGATAGAAAATTAAAGGGAGAGATTTCACTTAAGGCAGAAACAATTTTTTTTCTGAAAATTGTCATTGCTGATACCTGCCTCTGATCATCTGAGTTCAATGCCAGGACCGGAGAAAACCTCTGGCTTTGCCCCTCAAGTGAGGCAAAACGTGTGAAGGGAAGCATGTCTGGATTCCTCCAGTAGGAACAGTGCTCTAACTTGAACCAGGGAGGGTGCTTGAGAGGACAGGGTCTCAAGGCAAAAATGAGGTAGATTTTTAATTGCCAAGTGGGAACAACGGGACAGCAACATTCTTGTCTTGGATATCTGCTCAAGGCTGATATGCAGCTGCACAAGAGGGGCAGGCACCACAGGACTGCAGGGGAAGACAGAAATTTATTTAGGATTCTGATTTTCAACAAGTTGTGGGGAGCTATTAAATATTAAAGCTTTTAGAGCAAGGGTATAAAATGATCAAATTTATGTTTGAGAAAAATCTCTCAGGCAAAAGCATAGTGAGGGAATTAGACTCTGGGTAGGGTAAGAGGAGGCTACAGCAGTAGTCCAGAAAAAAATGGAATCAAAAATTACTAAGAAACAGAAATGACGGGCAGCTCAAGTCGGAGAACTGGAAGGAGGCCAGCTTGGCTAGAGGAATGTGGGGTAGGGAGGCTGAATTCAGTTTTGTATCCATTGAGTTTGAGGTATCACAGAGACATGTAACAGTGGGAGCCTGAAAAAGGGGTGATTAGTTCTGGCCTGGGGTGGGAGGCTCAGGATAGGCTGACAGAATCTGCGTTGGGTCTTGAAGGATTTTGCCTGGCAGAAGAGAGTGGGATCCGGCACAGGGAACTAGAAGAGTCAGGGATATGATGCCAAAGCTCTTTGTGTGCCTAATGGCAGTGCATGGACTGGTGAGGCCAGAGTGAGGGTTTAGATAAGGAGCTTGGGGAGGAGCCCAGGAAAAAATCTTGATTTAGCAGGCCCTGAGGAGCTCCTGAGATATGTCAGCAAAGAGAGAAATGATACAATCAGATGCCTGGCTAAGGGATTAGGAGGAGGTGCTGCAGGCCAGCTAATCATCATGTGGCTGAGATATGATGCAAGTGAAAGCAGACAAGGCAGAGGCTATAGGAAGAGAAAGGCAATGACAGCTTTGAGGGCTATTCTTAGCCTGATGAGATTTGATCAGATTTAGGCTGAGAGGGACCCAGTCCTGGGTGACTGAGTGAATGTAATTCTGTTGAAGGTGGGGACCACATCAGCAAGGAAGACTGTAGAGAACGTGAGTGATGACTAATGTACAGATGCTTGGGGCCAGAGAGTTCCATGTGGGGTTGCAAAGTGGAATAGCAGCTCTACCTCCCCTCTCCAGCCTCAGGCTGCCTGAAATGGGGCTGGTTCAAAGCATTACTCTAAGAGCTCAACTGGCTTCAATAATCGGTCCATGGGGAGGGCAGTGAGAGGGCCATGGTGCTATTCCTGAGACTGCCAAAGCAGGCCTGATGACATTCATGGACTGATGCACGCTCCTCCATGTGCCAAAGCAGGATGGAGGCCAGTGGAGTGTGTCCTGCCCCTCCCCAGCCCTGTTCTGTGGCTGATGCACCTACTCTGGCGGTAGAGTTCAATAAATCTCTTCTGATACTGGATTAGCTCGGCTCGGCTGGGCACTTCATCGATCTTGCGGTGTAAAATTGCTATTTCTCGATTTCTTCGAGCCTAAATGCAAAAGAGAGGGGGAGAACACTCTTTGGTAAAAGACCTCACATGTTCTCTGGGGAGCCAAAGTATCACCTGCACTCCTCCTGAGCCCAACCACATGCCCTAGAATGCACGCACAAATTTCTGCCATTAGCTTGAGGTTCTGTCTCAGATTTTGAATGGCATTCCCACTTTATAATGCATGGAAGGAAGTGTAGGTATGTAATAAACCACAGAAAGCATCAAGTCAAAGGACAAGAAGGAAGATTCTGAATGGGAAGGGCTTTTATGACAGCCCAGAACTAGCCTGCCAGGCCCCAAAGGGCTCTAGAGTAGCTGGCTTGACCACTGCCGAGCGGGGAGAGACAATGACAGGAATGCCTTCCAGATGATGGGCATTATGCCACCTAGCTGACTCCATATACATTCCAAATTCCTTAGCCTTGTTGAAAACCCTCTACAATCTACCCCTCAAATACCTTTCCAGCATTCTTTCCCTTCCATGTGTGAGGAAACTGCCCTACTGACGGGTCTGGGGGGCAGTGTGGTACTATGCTGTATTGGGCTGGGGCCAGCTGCCACAGCAGCAAGCTACTTGCTTGCATGTGGCTCCAGCCGCACATTTTCAGTCTTGGGACCAAGTGGGCTCTAGGCACTGCTCTTCTTCCATGCCTTCATTCCTCTGTCTGCCACATGCTCCCACTCTCCCAGCCTACTTTGTCTGCGATGTGAATCTCTTATTCACTGGGGAAATAAGAGGTTTCAGGTGGGAAACTCAACATCAACTCTGGCGACCAAACCAAAACAGAGTATCTATAGCTCTGGTGAGAGGGAGAGATGCATTTCTCCTTTATGCCCAGGCTAGGTTCCCCATGGGTGCTCAGGCTCTAACTCCTATTTTAGTTTTTTAGGAATATCAAGATACAATTATTCAGTCTTTTCCTTGCATTTTTAACCTTTCTTTATCACCTGGCTCCTCTTCATCAGCATTTAAATATGCTCAAGTCTCTCACTCCTTACAAATGCCCTTCTGTAAATGGTACAGCTCCCAGACTCTCCCCTTCCACAGCCATGTGTTCTGAGAGCCATGTGACCCAGGGACCTCTACTTCCCCTCTCTAGTCACCAAAAAGGCTCTCCTAAGAAGCCTCCTGAACTGCTCTGGTCAAAATCACATAGATCTTCTCAGGGCCACATCTAGTGGATGGCTCTCAGCTTCTAGCTCTCTTGATTGCCTATAGCACTTCCTCTGCTCACTCCCCCGAGGAGCTCTCTGCTCAGCTTCCATGAGGCCTCATGCTCCTGTCTTCCCAACCAGCTGTTTGAGCTGATCTTCATTGGGGGATCCCTCCTCTTCCTCTGCTTGCCCTCACATGCTGTGCTCCCCAGGGTTAGCCCCAAGGCCTCTTTTACATTTTCACAGCCATAGTCCTCACTGACACAGTGCAGATGCCCGTGTATCCAGTCCAGACTACACTGAGAATCCAACCCGATAGCCAACCACTCCTGTGACATTGCTACTTGGCCGAGTGCCTCAACTTTTAAAAGTCCCTAACAGATAGCATTAACACTCCTACTCAGATTTCCACCCTCTCCCTTAATTCTATATCCTCTCTTTTATGCTTCTTCTCAATGAATAACACAAGTACTCCTCCTGGTATCAGAAATTCAAGCATCATCCCGACTCCTCTCTCTCATCTAGCCTAACTTCTATCAGCTACAGCTCCTCAATCTCTCCCCTACCAGTTCCTCTCTACTATCCCACTGCCAACACCTAACTCAGCCAATTACCGGCTTTTCTGCCAGCTTCCCCCTAGTCAGTCAGGAGCAGCCCTTAGTAGGTGACTTGCATATAAGCTTCCTTGTGCTTTGATGTTCTTGACATGTCTTGGTTCTCAAATAGCCAGCAGGCAACTCCCCAAAAATGGGTCATCCCATTTACTATTTCTGGGGCCTGGTACGATGCTGAATATATACTAAGTGCTCAATCAAAAAGTTTCCAAGTAAGCAGTGGTCCTGACTTTACTTAACGCTGTGTGTCTTTATAGATTAGTAGAATACTTGTAGCAAAGACAAATTTAACTCACCCAAATTTAACCACAGAGCCCAGAAAAATAAGTAGGAGACAGAGAGAAAGGAGATGGGAGATAGGATCTCACGGGCCCTAGTAGTCCTTCGGCCATTCCCAGTAGAGCCTGGTCTTCCCCTCCCAGGAAACAGAAGAAAGGCCTGAGCCAAACACAGTCAAAATGTGAGAAGTTCTTGGCTTTCAAGCTTCCATGAGCCAGAGTGGCAATGTAGGGAAATTTAAAATGTAATTTTGGCTCTAGTGAATTTAGTTTTAGGACTACCTTCAAAACCTCACTCCCTCATATTTGACGTCATTCCCACAAACTGCTGGTTACCAGAAAAGATAGCTAAAATATGTGCTTTGTTTGTGAGGAACAGTACCAGACAAGAACACGTGGCAAGAACTGTTATCAGTGGCTTGACTTTGGGATGGTATGTAACCTATTTGAGTCAATTTCTTCACATGAAAAATGAAGCTAATAATACCTACTCCCCACTTGGGGAGAGGATCGACTCCAGTGGGTAACTGTGAAAACTCAGCACCAATGTGAGACCTTATTATCAACATCTTAAGTCATGGACTTACACTCCACATAGAAAGAAGATTGGTGAACAGCAGCCTTATTACCTCGCCTCTCTAGTTCTTATATATTGAGAGACTTTCCAGTTCTGTCATGAACGGTTTATATCTAGCTAGATGCATTTCCATATTTTTTTGTTGTTTTTACTCACCTGTAGTAAACGTATTTTGTAAAGTTTCTCTTTCTCCATATTATACCGTCTGTCTAGGTCTTCCTAAAAATTAGAAAAGGATGCAATTATTTGAGAATAGAAAACGTTCATTGTTTGATAAAGTCTTTGCTAGTGAATATGTTTATCATATCTCCCTTGTCCTGAGCCCTCAAACTGCTTTTCTTAAATGGCCAACTTTAGGGTCTGTATCCCATCTCACATGAGACTGTTAAGACACTTCCATATTACATTATAGCAACTCGTCCTTCTGGAACTCACACCAAATCCAGTGTTATTAAATGATGTAACCTCCAAATATATATATGCCCCTTTCCCCCTTCCTCTATAAAAAATGATTAATAAGGAGACAAATCACTAAAGAATCTGTTGTTCTATGTGTCGGTGTTGATGCTTGGTTTTCTTTCTATGTTTCTATTGTAAATGTGGCTATTTAAATTTACAGCAACTAAAATTTTTTAAAACATTCAGTTTCTCAGTTGCACTAGCCACATTTCAAGTGCTTATTAGCCACATGCAGCTAGTGGCGACTGTACTGGACAGTGCAGATAAAGAACATTTTCACCATTGCAGAAAGTCCTTTTGGACAGGGCTGATACAGAGAATAGAGAGAAAGTAGCCCCTGAATGGATCTGATGAGGTAAGAGACCCTGCTGGATGGTTTGCTGCCTCAGAGCAAGTTATAAAAGGGGTCAGAGGTGTCCCTGACCCTGTGTGCAGGGAACACACATACTCAGTCTCCTCCACAGGGCTCAGCTGCAGGCAAATTCCAACAGACTTCACTATAGGAGTCATGAAGCTCATTCTAGGGGATTATGAGGGCACAAAGGGAAGAGGAATCCTTGAAGATGACAAATGCTTTTTTTCTTCTTCCTTTCCTATTTTTTTCTTCTGGAGGTTTGTTGGAATGCTGGGAGCACTGGTTTAACTCAGAACAGAGGTCAGCAAACTACAGCCTATGAGCTAAATTCTACAGCCAAATGTGCATCGTGGCCTGTCTTTGTAAACAGTTTTCCTAAACACAGTCTTGTACATTCATTTACATGTCAACCATGGTCACTGCAGCAGAGTTGGCCCATAAAGCTGAAAATACTATCTGGCTCTTTACAGAAATGGCTTGCTGACCCTGGTAAACAGTTACAACAGAG